TTGATAATTGTTTAGATGGATCAGATGAAAATAACATGACCATTTGTTCTCATCGTCCTAGGCCTTGCATTTTTAATGAGTTCCGTTGTGCAAATGAGAAGTGTATTGAGGTAGATAAGATCTGTAACCACGCAGATGACTGTGGAGACAATTCAGATGAACTTGGATGCCGTAAGTTTATTTACAGTTGCCTCTATTTGTGTACTTAGTTTTTTAACTTGTCTCAAAATGATACATATTTATCTTATCTTAAAAATATTATTTTTATTTACAGATACGGCTTCAAACTGCACAGTAGGTGGTTGTGAACAGACTTGCACAGATCTCAAGGATGGTGGATATGTATGCCATTGCATGAGAGGATTCAGAATAAAACCAGATAACCCTAAGGCCTGCCAGGATATAGATGAGTGTGCAGAGTTCACTCACAATTGCTCTCAGTTATGTACCAACCTGAATGGCACTCATGCCTGTTCATGTCGTGAAGGATTTGAACTTGAAGTGAATGGCATTTGCCGCTTAAAAGGCGGGGCAATCACTTTGGTGTATTCAGACAGTCCAGAAATAAGGGCATTCAATCTGACCTCCAATAGAGCCATGAATGTAATCAAAGGAGACAGCATTGAATCTCTTGATTATGAACCAGAGTCTGGAATTGTTTACTGGACTGATTCATATGGAAAGACCATTAAGAGATCTTATCTGCCAGGATCACCTGGTAGGGCAGATGTAACAGTGGGTTATGCTCAAAACTTAGAAATCAAGAGCAGAGCCAAGCCCACAGGTCTTGCCATTGATTGGGCTGCTATGAATCTGTATTGGAGTGAAACTGATCGCACAGGTAATAAACCTAGAGGAGCTGTATTAGTGGCCACATTAGATGGAAGATACCGTCATGTTGTTATTGCAACAGGGCTTGAAGATCCAACATCTATTGTTGTTGATCCTGATCATGGATACATGTTCTGGACTGACATTGGCTCAATTCCAAAAATTGAAACCTCTTGGATGGATGGTAGCAAAAGAAGAATTCTTGTATCAGATGCTATTAGCCAACCTACTGGACTCACTATTGATTTTGCCATGGACCATACAATATACTGGGTAGATGCTAAGCTGAACAAAATTGAAATGATGCGAGAAGATGGTTCAAAGCGAACTTTGGTGGCCTCTGGAAACCAACTCAAACATCCTCTTTCTCTAGATGTCTTTGAATCTAGCTTGTACTGGGTTACACGTGACTCCGGTGAAATTTATAGCATGGATAAGTTTGGAAGGGGAGTCCCAGTGAAGTTCCAAGGAGAGTTTGCTAATCCAACAAGTATTAAAGGTATGCTAAGTACAGTTAGTAGTACATGATTATCATTATTTGTCACCTTTCCTGAGTTTGTTTAGGAATGAATAGATGGATAAAAAAAAGTTTCTGTGGATTCATATATCAGATTATTCTGACATACATCAATAATCTTATTTTGCTATTAGTAACAGTTCATTAAAGGAAGGAAATTTTTGCTTATGTTTTAATTTTATCTTGCTATTAGTAGAAGT